ACTAAGGGAAAAGGGAAAGACCATAACAAATAGCTATTTATAGACTTCCATTTTTGGAAATAATTACATGCCAATTAAAATTACATAAGAAGTAAACTTTTTATTTTTTAATTTTTAAAATGGGAATGAAAAAATGTCCAAAAGAAGCATATAAGAAATGATAGTATAAATGGAAACCAAGCATCTCTTCTCTCCAACCCCTTCCTCCCAAATGAGATTGCATATTTAATTAGCTCAGTAAAAAAATATTGAATGGGGAAATTAGTTGATTTCAGTAGACGTATCAAAACAACAGGGCTTTCATAGAACGGGTATACTATCAATCCTGAAGCACTGATTTTGAAGGGCCTTATTCAGTCTTTGCTTGTGTGGAAGCCTGAGAAAGAGCTGATATATGGATATAGTTTTAGGATGTTTTATCTCAAGGAGAGGGGAAAATAACCACAAAACAAACCTTTGTATCACAACATTAGACTGATATCCCTTGCAGGAAACCCTCAGAGTTATACAGTTTATTCCCTCGCCTTCTGAGAAATGCTTTAAATGCAAAAGACTTCATTTATAACTAAATCAAAATGGTTCGATTCCACATCTTTCCCTCTACATTATAATAAACACTGCTAGACATGTGCTAATTTTACACATTTTTACACTGTTTTTTAAATTATAAATCAAAACTCTAGGAATTATAACCCCCAAATTATGGTACCTACAGAAATTTCATTCATGAGCCCAAATTGTATGAACCATTTCTATATTTGCCAATATCATTTCCTATTTCTAATAAGGGCAAGCAGGAATCTGCTTGCCAAGAATTGCTCCAAAGATTTCACAGTCACAGACTCTTAAGAGGACAAATATGAACTATTCCCAAAGGAGAGTGTCTTACATCCTTTTTGGAAAACAACAGGTTTCACCCTAATTTATTTTTAGCTGTGAAGCAGGTCCCTATTTGCATTGCTAGATTAAATAATCTTGTACCTTTCCATGAAATCACATAGATTTTTCTCTCCAGTTTTGATTTGGGAATAAGCTTATATTGTTAGAGATAAAACTACTGAAGATAATGTTGAGCTGTAAGAGTCAAATTTTGAAGCCTCCAGGGAATGAATTACATACAATTCACTCTGTAGGTAAGATTTTAGATTTTTTCTTCTGTTTATTTGCATTTGATCTATGGAGTTCTTCGGTGTGATTAGCACAAAGCTGTATTCATAATATAATTTTAAAGATGCTGAGATTGAGTTTTTTTATTCACTGACAGTCTTTATTATCCCTGTACAAAAATGTTTCCTGTAAATATACTAATCACTACATTAATTTATATTTATATATTTATTTTCTTAATAACAATTACTTACATTTATTTAGAGCTTTCTATGTGCCAAACACTTTTCTAAGTTCTTTATGTACATTAACTTATTTAATCTTTACAAAATCTTATCCTGCACATAATTACTATACAATAATAGATACTAATTATTATCTCCAGTATAATTACTTAACATGAAGTTTAAGTAAATTACCCAGTCTTACAGGTTGTGAATGTTATAGCAAAAATTTAGGCTATTTGGCTACTGAGCTCTCAACTATTATGCTACATATGTTTACTATTTCACCAAGTAGAATGTAATTACCATGAGAGCAGGAACTTGGTGTTGGTCACAGCTATATCCCCTGGGACCCAGAACAGTACACTTAATAAGTATCTATTGAATGACAAATAAATAAATAAACAGAATTATTTAAATGCTCTTGTCTTACAGAATAAAGTAATTGGTAGTTTTTGAATATATAAAGATACCCTATATCACTTCCTATTTCTGATAAGGGAATTTTCTCAAAAAGTTTACAAGATTAAAATATTTTTAGTTATCACTTTGGCAAAATAATAGACTTTGAGGATAAAACTAATTTATTTTTAAGATTCTAGAAATTCTTCCTATAGTTGAAGTATCATTTTACCCCTTCAATAGCTTATAATTAAAGTTCTACCTGCCATTTATAAGGTAACAACTTAATTACAGTCATTGCTTAACCAGGACTTTAGGATTCCCAAATAAAACATAAAAATGCAAAGTATTTTTATTTTATAGTTACCATATTTTGAGTAAACCACATTATTGCCATGTTTAATTTGGCCGAAGTTATAGGATTTTTTTTTACTGTACCTTTTATTTTACCTTTTTGAGTTACACTGCACATTATAAGACCATTCATTAGTAAATAGTCATATTTTCATAGGATTTGTTAAAAATGACAGAGTGCTAAGTTCTCCCAAGCGTAAAGCTCTAAATAACTGGTCAAATTATCATAATGAAGAAATTAATAAATTTTAAAAGTCTCTTCAAAAGTGTTTTGGTGTTGATTTAGAAAATCAAAAAGGCTCTTGTTTTAAGGTTTAATTTTTGAGGAGAACATATTTTAAAGAATAGACTATAACCTGGATGTTAGGTGCTGGAGTAGCCCATAAAGTAACAAAGGTGCAAAAGTCTTAGTTTTTCAGAACAAAGGAGTTAGAATTACATTTTTCAGATTTTGATTCCAGACGTATAGGCAAGTCACTTTCATTTAGTAAAATTCATGTCTTTTGGAAAAGGCAGGTAATAATAATAACTACTTCTTAGGGTTGTTAGGGAGATTAAATGCTTGGAACCTAGCACAAAGTAACCAATGAATATTGGCTTTTATCAATTTAAGAACATCTTCACCTAAATTCCCCCATTGTATTGCCATTGAATGGTCAAGTCAGAGTTAAATAACCATCAGATAATTTGTTAACTAATTAGATTGACATTAACATTGTATATGGGGGCAGTCTTCACATATCCACATGTAGGTATGTGTGTTGTAGTTTGGTTTATTTTGGCATGTTGATTGCTGTTTTCTATGCAACTGGGATTCTATCACTAGCATTCCACAGATGAAGTGATGATTTTCAACAGGGTGAATTTCATCATGCAGCTCCAGTCTCTCTCTCTCTTTTAGGAGATTTTTCCCTTTGTCCTCATCAATTAAGGGGCAGCTTACAACTCTGGAAACCTGGAAATTTAGGATATATGTATTTACAGGTCTGCCATTAGTTTGGGCAAGTCACTTAATTTCTCTGGTTCCCAAATTCCTTATTTGTAAAAAGGTGAGGTTGGGCTAGTATCAGAAGGTTATACCTGGAGGGGACCCTAGAGATCAGTTTATCAAGAAGTGTCTAAGTTTTTTTAATAGTCAGCCACATATTTAGAAATCTGTGTTATATGTATGTTTTCATGTGCCTGTATCTCCTGAGATTTTTAGCAAAAACTAGGTTTTCCTAATTACCAGGCACTGATCAAATACAAGATTCGGTAGTGCCTAAGTACCTGTTTGCTGCCGCGATCTTGTATCTGAAGGCTGCTGTATGTTTTCATGTGCCTGTATCTCCTGAGATTTTTAGCAAAAACTAGGTTTTCCTAATTACTAGGCACTGATCAAATACAAGATTAGGTAGTGCCTAAGTACCTGTTTGCTGCCGAGATCTTGTATCTGAAGGCTGCCAGGGATCATGACAGCAAAGTTGGATCATTCAGTAATTATAACTGCAGTTCAGTAGAATTCATTATAAAATTAAATTAAATCAAGAATTTAGGACATTACAGTATAAAGACTGACCAAAGAAAAACAGCTATGTAGATAGCTCCCATAGATTGACTAAGGTTTGAATCATACCTAATTCCCCTTAGCCAAGCAAGGACCCTCTTGACTCACCACTCACCACTGTAGTCATAAACATGCTGATATAGCTTATACATGTGGATTTCTGATCATGTGGTCCACTGTTGGCAAATCTTGGACTTCTCTCCTCTAGGTGATTTTCCAGGACTAACAGCCTATGATTCTAAGTCATAGGTTATCCCAGTCTTTTCTCCCTGATCCGCTTTAAAAATAAATAAGGCTATTGAAAAATACAAAGCAATCCTCCCTTTCCTTTACTCCTAATACACTCCTTCAAGTATATTTCCCTTTGACCATTGAGAGTAAAGTGTTCTATTAAAAAAACACACAAAAATGCAGAATGTACAGGATATAGTAATATAAGAAGGCACTTTATATTTAGGTTGGGAAAGAGGAATGTATTTTTCTGAGGCTAGTAATTGGAGCTAAGCCAAAAATGTGTGAATTCTCAATGACTTGTAAGTGCTTACTGACATGGAGTGTATATATACATGTCATATATTCCAAGAATATGTTAAATTCTTTTCATTTTCCACTAGCTTATGAGGGCTAGGATTATATTACTCCCCCCCCCCAACCCCCCCAAAAGCTACAATGGCTTCTCTATCGGACAAAATTGAACTTTCTCAGCCTGTCATTCAAAACCCTTCAAAACCCGGCCCCAAACACATTTTCAGTTTCATATATTATTCTCTTCTATGTACCCTCCACTATAGCCCCTCCGTGGGTCTCATTACTCTCCAAGGCACCTCTCATTTTCACACCTCTGCCTCTTTGCTCAGGCTGCCCCCTTTGCCTAGGATGCGCTTTCTCATATCTAGTCTCCCTGACAAACTCCTGTCCGTTTTTCAAGATCTAGCTGAAATGTCGCCTATCTTCACGAATCTCTCTGCATTCTTTCCCCAGGCAGAAGGTATCTCCCTCACCTGTGCACCCATATATAGCACACACACGGCTGTCATTGCTGCACACTCTCCCACCACTACTACCCTCTCTGGAGCAAAGACCATGTTTTCATTATAGCATCTAAGAAGGGAAATATCCTGATTTAGATCAAATATGTTATCTTTTCATTCATTATATATAATTTGGAAAGTACAGAAAAACAAAAAGGAGGAAGTGAAATTCACCCATGACCCTACTCCCTCAGAGACAGTCATTGTTAACAGTTTAGTATATATATTTCCAGCTGAAGTGTACTTTTAGAAGGAGCTCTGGTTTTTAAAATTAGAAAATTACTTACATGACCTAATAGATGATCCTAATTCTTGAATTTGCTGTTTCCTTGTTAGCTTACAGAGAGAATAATCATCCTTTTTGTGGTGATCACCAGTCAAGAGGAAGTCCAAGAGAAATATGTGGTGTGTGTTTTATTCATCTTTTGGAATCTATTGGATCTGGTTAGGTAAGAAGGCAAAATAATCTCTTAAAACAAGGCCAAATTGCTTTCTACAGGGAAACCAGTAATAACTGCTTACATTTGGTTACTATGAATGAGACAGAAAAACATAACTCCTTTTCATGTTATTTTATCTTGATATGGAAATGTATTTTTAGTGTTTTCCATAGTGGGCATATCGAAGGTAATGAAAACCTACCGTGGTATTACAAGAGCAAATCAGTGCATTCAGGTTTTCAGCAGAAGTCTTGGCATAATACTAACATGGAATAAACTTCACAGCTGTTTGCTAATGAAAGGCATTCCTTACGTTTGCTCTAGTACATGTCATTTTAATAATCAAAATAGGACTTTATTGTTGGCAGAATTTACAAAGTTGGTTTCTGTGAATTCAAGAATTTTTTTTTTTTATTTTTCATTACACAATGTAATTGATTTTCATGGCCCTTTACCAATTCCTGCCTTTCCACCTTCCATCTCCCCCTTTCAATTTAAGAATATTTTAAAGATAGAGCCTCATCTCTCTGGGGAAAAAAAAGCACTTCCACATACATTTTTGTGTTCAATTCCAGTAGGTTCAAATGACTAACTTAAGTTATCTCCCCCTTTCAATTTAAGAATATTTTAAAGATAGAGCCTCATCTCTCTGGGGAAAAAAAGCACTTCCACATACATTTTTGTGTTCAATTCCAGTAGGTTCAAATGACTAACTTAAGTCCTTTAATGAACCCCTGGGAACCTTTGCTCTAGTCTTCAGTTTCTTTCTAATTAAAAAACTTTGCAACGAGATGTACCTAGTCTTATCTCTGGCAGTAGTGGTATAAAACAGTCCCCTTTGCTCAGTGAGCCCTTATTCCTCACTTTGGGGAAGTATCCTGACTGCTACTTCAGCTTCCACAAATAACTGTCCCTCCCATTTGAAAGATGTGCAATAGGTAACAAAAGAGCCCTTGTTTTCTAGCTGAGGTTATGTAAATTCTGTATTTATTATATTGTCAATAACTTAGCTAGATTAAAGTATGTATAAATAATGAGTTGAGCCCTGGAGTGAATTAGAAAGAAATAATTGTGGAATTAAAATGACTATAATTCTTCACGTATATAACTTAGTAAGTTATTTCTCATTTTTTAACTGATAGTTTTGTAGACATGCAGCAAGCTTCATGGACTTTTGTAGCCCATGACGTCCTAGTCATAACACATTGGAGCCTCATCTGGAACTGTAGCTTCCAGTATATTGTTCTTGGGTCTGCGTGACTCTTTCAGGATTCAGTCTCAGATAAGCTCAAGAGACCCATTAGAGAACAAAAACAACTTGTGCTTTGAAAGTGGTAGCTTGCTGTCATGGGAAGACTTTTCTGCAAAAAAGTAGAAAATCTCTGGATGAAACCCACCTCCACTACTTACTTGCTAAATGATCTTGGGCAAATTAACTTTTTTTTTTTTTAATAACAGCTTTATTGAGATATAACTTACATACCATAAAATTCACCCTTTTAAAATATAAAATTCATGGTTTTTAGCATATTCAAAGAGATGTGCAATCATCAGCACTATCTAGTCTAAGAACATTCTTATCACCCCCAGAAGAAACCTCATACCCATTAGCAGTCACTCCTCTCACCCTCCTTCCCCAAGCCCCTGAAAACCACTCATATACTTTCTCTATGGATTTGTTTATTCTGGAAATTTCATATAAATGGAATCATCCAATATGTGGCCTTTTGTGACTGGCTTTCTTGTACTTAGCATGTATCAGTACTTCGTTGCTTTTGATGAGTGAATAATATTCTATTGTGTTGATGTGCCAATTTCTGTTTATCTGTTCATCAGCTGATGAACATTTGGGTTGTTTCTACTTTTTTGGCCATGAGTAATGCTGCTATGAGTATCTTTGCACAAGCTTTTGTATACACACGTTTTCATTTCTCTTATACCTAGAAATGAAATTCCTGTGCACCTAACATTTTTGAAACTCATTTTTTTCCTCTGTAAAATGGGGGTAGAATTATCTTCCCAACCCACCTTAGAATGACTTTTTAAAAGTAAGGACCAGGGAACTTCCTTAACCTGATAAAGGAATCTATGAAAAATCCATAGCTAACATGATAGTTAATGATGAAAGATTGATGCTTTCTTCCTAAGATCAGGAACAAGACAAGAATGCCCACTCTTGCCATTTCTTTCAACATTGTACTGGAAGTTCTAGACATGACAATTAGGGAAAGAAAAAAAAAAAGAATATAAAGGCATCCAGATTGGAAAGAAAGAAGTGAAACTATGTCTACTGGCAGGTAACATGACCTCATACCTGAAAAATCATAAGGAACTGACCAAAAAGAGAATGGAACTAACAAGTTTAACAAGGTTGTAGAATATAAGATGAATATACAAAAATCAATTGTATTTCTATACATCTGCAATGAACTATCCTAAAATGAAATTAAGAAAACAATTCTGTTTACAAATGCATCAAAAATAATAAGGTACTTAGGAATAAGTTTAATAAAAGATGTGCAGAACTTATACACCGAAAATTACAAAACATTGTTGAAAAAAATTAAAGACCTAAATAAATGGAAAGACATCCTACATGGGCTGAAGATTTATTATTGTTAAGATGGTATACTCTCCAAATTGATCTGCATATTCACTGCAACCTCTATTAGAATCCCAGCCGGTTTCTTTGCAGAAATCAAGAAGCAGATCCTAAAACTCACATGGAAACTCAAAGAACCCAGAGTAGCCAAAACAATCTTGAAAAAGAACATATTTGGAGGACTAGCACTTCCCAATTTCAAAACTTACTACAAAGCAACAATAATCAAGTGTGTGGTACTGGCATAAGGATCAATCATGGAATAGCATTGACAGTCCAGAGATAAACTGTATATTTTTGGTCAATTAAGTTTTGACAAGGATACCAAGATCATTTGGTGGGGAAAGAATAGTCTTTTCAACAAATTGTGCTGGGACAACTGGATATCCACATGAAAAAGAATAAAGTTGGACCCTTACCTCACATGCAAGAGCTAAAACTATACAACTCTTAGAATATAAGGGTAAATATTTATGACTTTGGATTTGGCAATAAATCCTTAGATATGACACCAAAACACAAGCAACAAATTAAAAAATATATAAATTGGACTTCATCAAGAGTGGCTTTTAAACATATGAGAAGATGCTTACCAAGCCTTCTAATAAGAGAAAAAAAAGATAGTGAAATATTTTTCACTTAGATTAGTAAAGATTAAAAAGTTTGATAACATGCCATGTTAGTGAGAGCTTGTACTGTTTGTATATATTGTATATACTAAATATACACTTAGATGTGTATATGCCAAAACATTTCTGGAAGAATACACAAAAAATCTGATTGGTCATTGTCTCTGAGGAGTGGAATTCTGGTCCTGGAATGAGAGAAAAATTTGCTTTTCTCCATTTATGTTTCCAAGGGTTTTTTTGTGTGTTCTTTGTTTTGCCATATGTATGTATTGCCTATACCAGTGGCTCTCCATGCCTGGTCCCTAGATCAGCAGCATCAACCTCACCTGGAACTTGTTAGTAATACAAATTCTCTGGCTCTACCTCAGACCCACCAAATCAGAAACTCTGGGGGTAGGACCCAGCAATTTGTGCTTTAACAATCCATCTAGGTGATTCTGATGCATGCTGTAGCCTAAGAACCACTGGCCTAGCCAGAGAAATAAAAAATGTCTACTACTTCATCTATTATACCACGATGGGAGGTTTAAAGTTACCTACTATACCCAAAACCAGCTCCCAAAACCAGTTCTTTAATTGATCACAAGATGGCATGACTACAGAAGCAAAAGGATGCCAAATAAGAATTTGGAAGTCACATTTTTATTTTTAAATTAATTCCTGAGATATTTACAAGTACACCTATCTTAAAAACCCTAGTATGTAAGTACGCTGTGTAAAATGGGCTTGGCTTTTTAATGAAATTGAAATTACTTATTAAGGAAACTTGTAACTTTAAATTAATTCCTGAGATATTTACAAGTACACCTATCTTAAAAACCCTAGTATGTAAGTATGCTGTGTAAAATGGGCTTGGCTTTTTAATGAAATTGAAATTACTTATTAAGGAAACTTGTAATTGTAATTTCTTGAGGGATAAGAGTTACATTCTTGCTCCCTTCAGCTCCACAACTATCCATGATCCACTCCATGAGACACTCCAGAATGACATGGTCCCTTTGCCCCCAATTTTTTTTTTAAAAAAAACTCTTCTCTTGCTTAATTATAGGTAATAAAATATGTAATTTGCACACTTTAGTTTTATCCCTGTATTTAATTATTTGGTAAGATATTTTCTTTATCTGTTTCCCAGACATCAGCAGCAAATGATGTTTATTAGCTCCTTGTCTCCTTTCAGGTACACTTATAGCATGTTATCAGTCACAGGAATATCCTATGCTGTCTTGACATGGCTCAGTCAAACACTATGGATGCTGATTTATCCTCTCTGTGTTCTAGCTGAAGGTAAGAAAAGAATGACTTGCTGTATTGCTTACTGACAAAAGCCATCTAGTTATAATGGTTCGCTAATTTTTTTGATTATTACAATACTATTTTTGCTAATGCTTAGCTCACTCAATGTATCTTTCTTGGTATATTTCTCTTGATGCAAAGAAGCAAAATTGGAGGGAGAAGCACTGCTGCAGAGTAAACAAAATACTGGACAAGAAACAAGGACATCTGGGTCCAGGTCCTTAACTTCATCAACTCACTGTATGAGTTTTGGGTAGCTCCTTTAGCCTCTCTGAATCTGTTTACTCACCAAAAAAGGGTTTAACACTTAGAGATTCTATGATTTTTTACTTTTAATGCATAGAAACTCCATGAGGGTATGGGGGTGTCTGTGTCTGTTTCTTTGATTCCTTTCTTTCTCTTATGCACCAGGATACATACATGCTCAAAAAATCACTGAGTAAATTAAGAAAGACAAAATTAAGTAGGCTAATTACACAGCCTAAATAAAAACCTAAAACTTTAAATAATAATTAAAACCATTTTTAATTTTTTTTAATTTAAGATTTGCAAAAAGCTTGGGAATATTTGGGGAATATATGCTTCCTCCTGTAATGGACTTGGCAGATGGGTCATGAGCTTTCTGAAAGATATGAATAAAGTTTGTGAAAACTGAAAGCATAAAATAATTATAAAAAATAAATTATAAAATTATAAAATAAGGACCGGCCCGGTGGCGCACTGCTGTAGTGCGCCGCTTGGGAAGCGCGGTGGCACTCCCGCCAAGGGTTCGGATCCCACATACAGACCGGCTGCTCACTGGCTGAGCGAGGGGCGGGAGCAACACCGAGGGTTGCGATCCCGTGGCCGGTCCCGGTCCGGTACGGGCGCGACACTGAGGGTTGCGATCCGTTGCCGGTCACGAAAAAAAGACAAAAAGGAAAAAAAAAATTATAAAATAAAACTGAAGGCATAAAGAAAGCACATAAAGGTAACTAAGAGACATAAACAGATTTAACATAAAATGATGGTGATGTTGGCAATAATCATAAAGTATACAAAGGCCAGTATGTAAAATAAAACCACGTTTTCTATCTACTGATGACCAGAGTAGGAGCTTAAGTTATAATAAATCATACTAGATAGAATTTTAAAATTTGTTTTCAAAAGGAAGAATATTAATATTTGTTAATAATAAATATTAATTTTATTATTCCCTAAGAGAATCTAGAGAATAATCTTCTTGAAAATAGTAAAAAAAAAAAAAACCTGATTGCTCATTCTTTAAGAATGAAATCCCTCACTCATTAAAACATTTATTAAGTACATTCCTTTGTTATATCATATGAAAATACTATACAGACTGTATAAAGGAAATGAGATCTTAGTCAAAGGATACAAAGTATAAGTTAGGATGAATAAGATTTTGAGATCTAATGCACAACAGGGTAACTGTAGTTAATAATAATGTCTACTACAAAACAGCTAAGAGTAAATTTCAAATGTCTTACCAATACCAAAAAAATGAGTATAGTGAGGTGATGGATATATTAGCTTGAATTAATCACTCAACATTGTATAAATATATCAAAACATTACAATTTACCCCATAAGTGTATATAATTATGATTTCTCAATTAAAAATTATATTAATAAAATAAAATTAAAAATTAAAGTATTTTAAAGAACATATAAAGGAATATGTAAGATAGAAATATGACTAATCCCTTCCTAAAAATAAGGGATGAATGGGCCGGCCCGGTGGCGCGCTGGAGAGTGCGCCACTTGGGAGTGCGACGGTGCTCCCGCCGAGGGTTCGGATCCCATGTGGAGACTGGTTCCCACTCACTGGCTGAGCGTGGTGCGGGCGCAACACCGAGGATTG